TTGGGCCAGGCCCAACGGGCAGTGGGAAGACGACCTTTATCAGCGAGTACGCGCTGGACCTGTGCATGCAGGGGGTGTGCACACTGTGGGGCAGCTTCGAGATCAACAATGTCCGCCTGGCCAAGATCATGCTGACGCAGTTTGCCGCCCAGCGCCTGGAGGACCAGCTGGAGCTGTACGACGAGTGGGCTGACCGCTTTGAGGACCTCCCGCTCTACTTCATGACCTTCCACGGCCAGCAGAACATCAAGTATGGTCCCACATCTTTGTCCCCAGTGGCGTTTACCCCTTGCGGCGTGTGCTGTGGGGTCCTGGAGTGCCGAGGCTCTTCTCCTGCAGTGGGTTGTGGATCTGGGGGTGGCAGGAGGCACACTGGGGCTGGTCAAGTCCCGGGATTGGCACATGGGGGCTGCGTGGCTCAACCAGCCGCATCCCTGCTGTCACAGGGGCTGTGACAGCCTCCTTCTGGGATGGGGATGAAGGGAGGGGACCTGTTCCTCTGCTAGGTGGCTGCTCTAAAACCATTCTCTGCCCCTGGCAGGATGTGTCCCCCCACACCCTTCTCACCTCAATCAGCACTGCTGTTTGCTGAGGATGGAGGACAGGCACCTCCAGCTCCTTTTATTCACTGGGTGCTGTGGCGCCTGCAAGCATCCCCATGTGCCCTGAGTATCCCCACAGACGGGGGGGATCATGGGACGGTGGGTAGGGGCTGTGTGGGCAGCAGCTGGGTCCTCCCCGTCCAGCCACCCTTGCCTGTGGGGATGGGGCTGCCCCTGTCTGGCGATGGAGTTGACGCAGAGATGGGACGTGCCCAGGGCCCAGCGGGAGCCAGTCTGGTACCTCCCAGCTCTGCCTCTCCGTGTGCCTGTGCCTGGCTTAGCATCCCCATCCCCGCCTCTGCTGATCTCGGCTGATCCCGGTCTCCCCCTGCCCAGGACGGTGATTGACACCATGCAGCACGCCGTCTACATGTACGACATCACCCACGTGGTTGTCGACAACCTGCAGTTCATGATGGGACACGAGCACCTCTCTGTGGACAGGTAGCCCTTCTCCCAGCCACCCCCTCCTTCTTCCGCCACCCTCATCGCTGGAACTGGCCATGTCGGTGTTGCGGCAGGGGCTGGGGACCTACAGGGGGTGTCCTCTTTAGTCCTGTTTGGCCACCCTGTTTTGTTGAAGGGTGATCACTGCCCTGGGGAGGAAGAGGTGGGAAAGGGTTAGCCAGTTACCTGTGATCCCTGTTGTGCCCCATCCCTTTGGCTGTGTGGGTCCGGCTGCCCCACAGAGTGTAAGCCTGGACCCCATGATGCTTCCTGCTGTGGGGCTGAACCTGGCAGCACCTTGCTGCCCCCGCCCCAGCAGTGCCAGCCCCTGAGCCTGTTCTCACTGCCGTGGCAGGCTTGCTGCCCAGGACTACATCGTTGGTGCCTTCCGCAAGTTCGCCACGGACAACACCTGCCACATCACGCTGGTCATCCATCCCCGCAAGGAGGATGACGAAAAGGAGCTGCAGACAGCCTCCATCTTTGGCTCTGCCAAGGTGAGCTGGGCCGGGGTGGCCCTTCCAGTCCCTTGAGCACAGTGTGTTTCCAGAAGGGGCTGGGATATGTTGGGCAGCTGTCCCCAGCTCCCACCAGCACCCTGAGTCATCACCGGGGACCTGAAAGGTGCTGTGAAGGGCCAGATGTCCCCAGGACTCCTGTCACTTGCTGAAGATGTGTGGAGTCCCAGTTTGGCCAGGCCTTGGTTGGGAGGTGCAGACAGGGATCAAACCCTTCACCAGCTAAAGCTCTGTTGGGGCCTTAGGTGTAGTTAATTAATGGTCGCTGACTGTGAGTGGGATGTGGTATGAGATAATTAAAGGAGGAGCCAGGGAGGGTACAGGGATGGGCTCGCTGAGTGCTCCAGTCTCTGCTGTGATGCTGAACAACCCTGCGGTGGTGGGCAGGAGGTGCTCTGTGAGTGCACAGCCCTCCTCTGCTCCCTTGTTTCCCCAGGCGTGCAATGGCTTCAGCTCGAGCCTGTCTGCCCGGCGGGTCGCTGGGATGTCCTGAGGGAAGACAAGGGGTTGGTGTCGGGGAGGTGCTGGAGTTGCCGTGGCCTGGGATGCCCCGTAACAGGGCTCAAAGGAGCTGGGCAGGCAGCCCATGAGCACCTCCGAGCCCCGTGACTCGGCTGCGTCCCCAGCACCCTCCTGGAGATGTTTTCCTCTCCCCAGGCTAGCCAGGAGGCCGACAACGTCCTCATCCTGCAGGACCGTAAGCTGGTGACGGGGCCAGGGAAGCGCTACCTGCAGGTGTCCAAGAACCGCTTTGACGGGGACGTGGGTGTCTTCCCCCTGGAGTTCAGCAAGGCCTCGCTCACCTTCTCATCCTCTGGCAAAAGCAAGGTCAGACTGAAGAAGATGAAGGAGGAGAAGGCGCTTTCAGCCAAGAAGGCTCCAGAGGGAGGCTCGGGAGCCTCCAAGAAGCCGTAAGCCTGGCAGGTCTCTCCTTTGGTCCGTCAGGAGGGACGGGGACTGGTGCTGGGAGCACGGGGCTGGGGTACGCCAGCCCCTCTCCCCCAGGAGCTGTAGCCACACGCTGCTGTGGTCTTTTCTCCTCTTGTACGAACAAGCCTCTTGGCTGCCAGTACGGTGTCTCTGAGACGTAGGACCACCGTGAGAGGAGGAGTGGGCTCATCCCAGAGAAGAGTGGCCAGGGGAGGGTGCTTTGGCAAACGCTGGCTGCTCTGTACTGGTGCTAAGTGCTGGGAGCACGGAGGGGAGCGGAGTCAGTGTGGGCTGGGTTGACGGGGGGCAGTGACCTGCCACCCCAGGGCTTGGGAATCTCTGGACCTGGAGCAGGTTGTTAAATTGTGGCTAAAATGGAGCCAAAATCCTGGGCTGTCACTGGTGGGAGGGACTGTGTGGGGGGACTGTGCAGAGGGACACATGGTGGGAACCCCCCACCCCATCACGGGTGGGGAGGTGTCTGGGCTCGGTCCTGACTGAGATGGAGCCAGCGAGGGGACGGTGGTGAAGGGAAGCGTGGGAGATTGGGGACGGCTCTTGCCCCAGAGCTGTGCGCTCAGTGGGAAGTGGTGGGAGCTGGGCCCCCAAGGCACTGCTGCTGGCGATGGGCTGAGGGCAGCGCTGGCGTCCTGCGCCAGCAGGTGGGTGCGACGTGGCGCTCGCCGG